CATCCTGCCACTGATGATGAGGCGGATTTATTTTATGGAAATCTTTGTGACATCTTCCTGTGAGAACAAAAGAGCCTGGGTGCCTTTCAGATTAGATGTTAACAGTTACTTCTCAGTACCAGCTCTTTAGACCTCACTATTTCAGCAGATGTGTGGCTGTTTACAGCCAGCCACTGGACCAATGAGTGTATACATTAGAATTTACTGCATAAATCCAAATTGTCCACTACATCTTAGGAAGGGCATTTCTTCACCAACAGAGGCCACTGCAAATATCTGAAATAACTAGAGTTATTGTTTTAATATACTCTTGTTGCTTACATGTATTTACAAACATTTTATGATGCTCTTTCATTCTCCAGTAACCCTTCCCCTGCCATCCTTAGTCTAAACTCAAACTCACAGGTAGGCTTTGTATTCATGATCCTCCTGCCCCAGCCTCCCAGATGCTAGGTTTACCAGCTGTAGACCATGTAACACAGCTTTTGACTTATTTTTATGTACCAAATCTGTCACTTTTTCCTTAGGACTTCTGGGATGTGTATCTTGCCTAGAAGATTCTATTCCAAAACTAGAAGTGGTTCTCTTACCTCTTATTTTAGCACTGTTGTGTCCATCAATCTTGAAATATATGTGCATTGTGTGGTATAGGCCCTGTCTTTTCCCAATGACCCTAGCTCCTTCACAGGTGATTTCCCATGAATGACCCCAACACACAACTGGTGGTCTTTGTAAGTTCTTACCGTACTGTTTTCTAGTATGAAATAGAAACACCTTGTCCTCATTGCTTTGTGAACTGTCTTTGTCCATGAATTTCTGAGCCTGTGGCTGCATTAACCTAAGTGGCACTGCCGTCTATCCTTCCTATAGGACCTTTTGAGTAGCTGCTGCCTTCAAGTTGAAGCATCCCTTCTTAGAGGATCTTAAGATCCAAGAGGTTTAGGACACTCAGAATCTTACAAGACTCACAAAGTCCCTCCCCTGGGCTATCTGATAATAAACAGTTCATGGGAGGGAGGGTCTGGCTGTACCAAGCTGCTGCCAGGCTGTGCAGGAAGTCCTGGGGAGAGGGAGAGCTTCCTGGTGTTGCAGCTGCCTTTGAGTTAAGGGACCCCATCAAACTCACCAGTTCAGTAAACTAGACTTGGGTGAAATCACTTCTTTATCCATCTCCAGTGCCCTCTGTGGCATCCATGCCCATCTCCCCAGGCAGTTACCAACAGAACCCTAGCTTTCTGTCTGAGGCCCTAGCCTTCTTGGAAGCTAACAGGAAGTTCATACGTGTTAAACAGCAGTTCCCGGGCTGCCGTTAAGGCAAAGCTCAGCAAACTTACTCTTTTCCTCCCTCTTTGGATGCCTGGGGCCAAGGATTTTAGGATGCGTAACAAGCTAAAGGGGGGCTACCTCTGACACGGTCATGTGCCCAGTGTCCCCGCACTAGCCGTTCAGACTTAACACTGGCTTTTGTGTGTGTATTTGCCTCCAATGTGTGCATGGTGCCAAAGGCTAGAAGTGGGTGATAGATTCATCCCTTGAAACTGGAGTTAGGCAGTTGTAAGTCACACTGTGGCAACCAACTGCCAGCAAGCCCTCTTCAAGAACAGCAAGTGTTCTTAATCCTGAGACACTTCAACCTTCCATTAGTCACTGTTACTTTTAACCTTTACCCACAGTCAACATTAAAACAACTGGAATGTAAATCAATCCACTTGAAACAAACTGACATATACACAATCATCTTTAATAGACAAGAATATAAGGCAGGCATGGTGGCACACACCTTTAATCCCAGCACTCAGGATGCAGAGGTAGGTTCTCTTGAGTTCCAGGCCAGCCTGATTTAGAGTGAGTTCCAGTCTTCAAGTATTTCATTCAAGTATTTCATATTCTTCAGTAGACTACATAGCTTCTTCCATATAACTTATCCTTCTTTCCATTTCATCATTTCTGTAGCATATAGTTCAGATTTCTGTTGAAAATGGAATATTCAGTTTCCCACTGGCTACCACTAATAGAAAGTTACAGCTTTCCATGAGGAAACTACTCAAACTACCTACTATATGTCTATCGGTAATAGCTTTTCAACTGCTATTTGGGGGTGCTGCCTCCATCACCACCCTACCTGAAATGTCTCTGATGTCCTTCCCTAAGGTTTCTTTCTCAGTCTAGGTGAATCTCATCACATTGTCTGAGCCGTAACTCGAGCCTCAATGCTTGCTGAAGCTTTGCTTTCTGGTAACAGTCCTTGGCCATAATAAAAAGGTGTCCTTGGGCTGGAGAGGACATGAGCTCAAGTCCCAGCAACAGCATGAAAGCTCTCTACTCCAGTCCCAGAGGATCCAATGGCCTCTTCTGGCCTCCAAGTGTACTACATGTGCATGGTACATAAGCACACATGCAGACAAATACATGCATACACACACACAAAAAAATTTTTTTTTAAATTGTAAAGGTTTCTGTCTGTTCCTTAGCCTTACAATAATAACAAGTATTCATCAAAAGAGGTATCTCCTGGTTCTCTAAGACTGCCCTGTGCCTGTTCTCCACTTAACGCTTCAGGGACTGTTCATGAGGAGTTAAATGGCTTATGCTGAATTCAAAGGAAAAATCCCATTTTGCCATTAAAAACAAAAACTAGAGAATACAAGAAAAAAGTGGAAAGAGATGAGTATGGTTGCTTCCAAGGAGCTCTTGGAGCTGGCAGGGCTAACTGCTTTCACCAGTATCCCGGGCTTTGCAGGTTTTGTTTGCATAACAATAGGACCCCAACTATGTACAGTGGTGTAATTACTAGAGTCAAATATATTGGGAATAGTGTTTGCTGTTGATAGTGACAGAGGCCTTCACAACGACAGATGCTATTCTTATAGCATGGAGTATGGGAAGAAACCACACAGGGCGTAGTCATCAGATGAGTCTGTGTTGAGGAAAGTCCCAGATCAAACTGACATCCTGGTTCTAAGCAACTCTATAAAGTTCTGCAATTTTAATTATGAAGAAATACACTGATTAAATTCATAAACATGTAGTTACACAAGAAAACAGGGTAGTATGAGATGTTTGCAGGAAATGACAAAGCAAGGGATCTGGCTTTGGTGTAATAAGCAAGCCAAGAAACTGACAGTCATATACAGATGACTAGGACTACCCTAATTGAAAAGCAACTAGGAGGGATCGGGCTGTATCGTGATATACCAGCAAATATGATGGTGACGTGACTGTGTTGGTAGCAGCACGGGGGAGAAGACTGAGCCTGTAAATTCAGAAACAGTACAGGTGCAGACTTTCAACAGACTGAAAGACAGAGTGAGAAGACTACAGACACCTACACAGCCCTTAGACACTGGTGATCACCTCTACATTATCTCATTTTGTTGACGAGGACTTGAGTAACAGAAGCTAAATTGTCCTTTTAACAGTAAAGAAGACAGAGACACTAATTACAAACACCTATAAATTACCAAATGGAAAATACAGACATTAAAGTCTAAGAATATATTTTAACACCACCTGGAGAGTAAGCTGGTCTACATAAACACTCATCACTACTTAACACACTTCACATTCTCTCAAAAGTTGTTACAGAGATTTTATATGTATGCATGCATACATGATTCTCCAGAGATGTTCCATTTGAAAACCTCCAACTTAGGGCCAACACGAAGGCTCACCAGGTAAAGGTACCTGCTTCTAAACTCAACAGTCTCATGTGGAGGCCTGAGGCTGACATCAGGCACCTTCCTCCATCACTCCCCACCTTATCCTTTGGTGCAGGGTCTCTCACTTGTCAATACTGCTAGTCTGTGCTCACCAACTAGCTCCTGGGATTTCCTCCTCACCTTCTTCAGAGTGTGCTGAAGCTGAAATTATAGGAGGCTGCCACACACAGCAATCACCTACACAGATGCTGGGAATCTGAACTCTGGTCCTCATTCTTAGTCAGCGAATATTTTATACACTGAGCCATCTCCCTGACCTTAGAAAATCTAGTGCTTACTACCCAAGCATGGAAACCAGAATTCAAATCCCTAGAACATACATAAAAAATTCAGACATGGTCACACACAGGCCTGCGTGTGAGGGAGAAACAGGAGCATCTCTGGGATCTGCTAGCTACCAACCTAGCTCCAGCATCAGTGAGATCCTGTCTCAAGGGAATAAGGCAAATCATGACACACAGGACACCCAGCATCCTCCTCAGCTCTCCGAGAACAGGCATATGCACCCACACACATGTGCACAAACATGTAATACTCACATACACACTTCTACAAATGCTCATACATTTGACTCAAGTGTTTTATCACGTAAGTTGCCCATTTAATGCCTCAAACTTTTAAGAGGTAAACTTCAATAAAAAGCAGTCACCTGTTATGTAGCTTAGTCTACTTGTGGGACCCCTAGCAGCAGTGGGAGCAGGGCTGTCCCCAACACATTGACTGGCTTTTGGGAACCTATTCCTCAAACTGGGTTGTCTTGCACAGCCTTAATACCAGGGGAGGAGCTCAGTCCTACAGCTTGATATGCCTGCCATGTCTTGTTGACACCCTTTCTGAATAGAAACCAAGGAGGAATAGATGGGGGGGGGCATAGAAGGGAGGTGGGAGAGAAAATTGGGAGGAGAGGAGGAAGGGGAAATTGTGGTGAAGATGTAAAATTAATAAATTTAATCAATTTTAAAAAATCCCCAAAGTAGGGGGGGAAAAGCTGTCACCCCATCCCAAGAAAAGGCTGTATTAAGTAAGGACTTAAGAGTACAGCTCTTGACGGTCAATGACTGTAAGAGTACCGCTTTTCAGCTGTACAGACAGCCATTGGAATAATGGCTTAGAGTAGGCCAGTCTCCTGCCCTCCTGAGGAATATGTAGGTTCAGTTTACTCCATTTTTAAAGGAAAATATTTGAAAGAGTGAAGGAGAAACTATTCATTATTTTTTTAAAAAACCAGAACTCTTGATTCTTGGCTTTCCAGGCAGAACAGACACGACAAAGGAACACAAATTATTTGTATTAAATTGTATTTTCAGGAAGATCCCAAGGTTTGACATAGGCACAGAGAAAAGAACAAACTAAAGCTAGTATAAACAAGATCAGTTACAGACTGACCTCTGAAATGTGTTAGAAAATATACAGTAGTCACACTTTTTAAAAATATGATTGAGGAAAAATGTTTTAATTCAAGTCTTCTCAATCACTTGAAATACTTGTGAGCTAAAACTCATACATTAAGGCAGATATTGATTTTTAAATACTCATTTAATTGATGAAATGTTTAACTTGCAATCAAAGGAGATTTTATTTAAAAAAAAATTTATTGCTACAAAGGTAACTGTACACAAAAGCTGTTAAGCCATCTTAATGCTAACTGCTATTCAATGTAAAAAACAAACAAAACAAAACTCCCCAATCTGGACAAAATACTTGCCCAGTCCTTCTCTTAGAGTAAGTATTAAAAAACTGAATGCACACTTGAAGGTTCACTCCCAAGAGCAGCATTTAAGTTCAAATGATTACAACAGATAGAGGAGCAAGACACATCTAGTATCCTCAACACCAATAAGGTAATAAAAATTAAGCTTAAAAATCATACAAACAATTTATCATATCTAAGTTTGGTATCTATAAAAACTAAACTGAAATCATCTGAACTTCATTTTATTAAACAAGTGCCAAACATTTAGAAATTATATAAAACAAATTTTCTATGTGGAATGCATGCAACATGGTATCAGTTCATTATCATAAGCTATGAAACGTCTTCCCTTCCCTACAGGAGGACAGAGGGTAAGGCTTGGCTCCACTCAAGTCCAGTGCCCTAGCCTGACTGCTCACACGGCTCAGCAGAACAGCCAACAGACTCTTCCTTACTACCCTCCTCTTCCTCCTCCTCTTCCTCCTCCCTAGCTTCTTCTTCAACCTCATCTTCCCCTGACTCGGGAGGCCCCTCCCCTCCCTCCACTGTTCCAGCTCCTCCCCCTTCCTCTTCCTCCACCTCTTCCGTTTCCCCTCCTTCCTCTACTTCTTCATCCTCTTCTTCTGCCTCCTCCCCCTCCTCTTCCTCCTCTTCCTCCTCTTCAATGGGTTCATCGATCTTCTCTTCATCCTCTTCATCTCCTTCTATCTGCTGATCCTGAGAATAATCTTGAATTTCAAAAGGATTTTCACCCTAAACAAAAAAAAATTGGCATTTACAGTCAACACATGTGTCTTTCTAGCACTGATGCTTGTTATATCAGGGAAACACGTATTTGAAGTTCTTTTTACTTAACGACAAACTTTTATATATTTGAAGTATCTACTCGACCAACAGTTGAGAAACATTCACAGATACAATTTTATCGTTATTATCTCCAGTGTGTATGCGCACGTACACGCATGTGCATATGTTTACATGTGGAGGTCAGGTAACCAGCAGAATCACTTTTCTCCTTCCACAGCCCAAGGACTGAATTCTGGTTATCAGGCTTGATGGCAATTGTCTTTATCCAGCAAAGCCACCTCAGCAGCCCTACAATCTTAGTAATTATTTATCTGGATTAAGTCTCATATGAACTGGTCATACTGCAACTGCATTAATACGGGAAACAAAGAGGCAGTGAAGCTTATTAAGCTGCATCTATTGAGGCTACATTTTAAGATGGAGCAGACAGGAATGTGCAGAATGAAGTGTGATAATGTATACCTGGTGGTGCACTTTAGTGATACAGAATGAGCTTAGAAGGGGACGGGAACAATGATAAAGACAGTTCTGAAGGCCACAGATAGGAGGACTATAGGAAACTTGGAACAACAGAACAGAGCAGGCAATGAGAATGGAGAGAGGAAGTGGGTCAGAGTCTTAAATATCTAAATGCTAAACAGGCACCTATAAAATTTCATCTTAGGCAGAAGAGCGGCCAGAGTAAACTATTTACTTGCTCGGGACTGACAGTGTAATTAGAGTCCCACGTGAGGTAGCCTAACATGATCTATAGGAGTAAAACCCTACAAGCAGCCTACACAGGGACAGGGATGAGGGAGGCAGAGCATTGTCTGCCAAAAATGGCAGTTTAAAGAGAAAATGATGAATGAGCAGTGTTAAACAATACAGATAAAAGTAAAAAGTAATTGAAAAAACATCATTAGAGTCCATCAGTATTAATGATGAAGGCTCCTAAGGATTTAGTTTTTCATGTTTCAAATAAAAGGATTTTAATTTTTGTGCATTTGCACATGTGAGTACATGTGTGTTCAAGTATACGTAGGAGTCAGAGGCTTCTGGTGTCATTAGTCAGGATCCTCTGTGCACCATGACTTTTGAGGCAGGGTCTGCCAATTCAGCTAGGCAAGCTCAGAGAGCCCAGGAATGCTCCTATCTCCACCTTCCCACCACTGAGAAAAGAACATGCATCCCACGCTCAACTTTCTTTAAAGGACTCTGGGGCTCAAACTCAGGTCCCTTCATGTGCACAGTGAGTGCTTTACCAAATGAGCAAACCCTCAAGCACCAGCACATTAATTTTACAGCACTGACTGTGATAACTGATCACTGGTAATCTTAAGTTTTGAAAGTTTTGAAAGTGTGATGGACCCGGGAATTAGAGCAATAGCAGCTGTCCAAGAGCAGAGCACGTCTCTATGATCAACTTCTATCAAGCTGACAAAGCACACAGTGGAAGCTATCAGGTGCTAGAAATCTTTCTTAAAATACTAATTTCCAGTCACTCTCAGGCCTCCTGAAGCAAAACTTCGAGGCAGAAGCTTAATAAGAAGCACTTTAGGAGCCGGGTGGTGGAGAACACACCTATAATCCCAGCATTTGAGAGACTGAGACAGGTGATCTCTGAGTTTGAGGCCAGCCTGGTCTACAGAGTGAGTTCCAGGACAGCTAAGGCTACACAGAGAAACTTTGTCTTGAAAAAGCAAAACAAAAAACAAAAACAAAAAAAAAAAAAAAAAAAAAAAAAAAACCCAAGCAAACAAAAACCAGAAAGGAAGGGAGTAGATAAAAGAGGGGAGGGATGAGACACTTTGGGGTCTACTAGCCTGAAAAGCTTGGAGATTGACTAAGAGGGTCTTTACAGGCCCTGGGAAGTGTTCTATTTAACCATGCCTTTCAAAAAACAGTGAGTGTATTCTTCCCAGTGAGAAGTATTTGGTTACAGCAAACCACAGAAGTGAAAAGCCTAACGCAAGGCAAGCTATCTTTTGAAGTTTATAAGAAAAGACAGTGAAAAGCAAGGGAGCCAGGGCCCAGGAAACATCAGGGCACTTTAGTTTAGGGAAAGCACAAGCACTGTCTGCCTGGAGGAAGACAACAAGGGGTGGAGGGAGGGGGAGGGGATGAGGGAGAGGGTGGGGTGAGGGTCAGATCCAAATAAGGGAGCAAGAATGATGAAACCAGAACACAGACGAAGGGAAAATGGTAACAAGGTGAGGGAACAAACATAAACACATACAGAAATCTAAGGTAGAACCCATGTTGCTCTCTCCCTAGTGCAAAAGAATATGAAATCGGGGAGAGTAAGGATCAACCCTGGGCTATGTGAAGAGGGGGAAGATGTGAAGTAGTTACTATAGAAGACACAAGTCAGTCTTAAAGAGAAAGAAAAACAAACGAAGCTGAGGTGGGGGAAATAGCTCAGTCATAGTGCTGGACACACGAACATGGGGACCTGGGTTTGTGTAAGAATTCATGCAGACCTGGCCCCACACCTTGGGGACCTGGCACAATGAATGCCTCTGCACACGGCAAGCGGTACCCTAGCTCTGTACGCAGGTGCAGAATTCTCTTTAGGAGGCAAACTCCACCCACTTTCTCATCTCTCTTTTCTGCCTTTCTCTGAGGAGGCAGTTACTGTCTTTCTGTCTCTCTCTCTTCTCTCTTTTCTTCCCTTACTCCCTCACCTTCCCCGAATAATCTTTCCACAAAAGCTCTGTCTATAGATCTCTGTATCCCACCCACTGTTTGCCCCTCAGTACTAAAAAGGTCCCACCTCATGATGTATTATAACACTCAGAATCCAAATTTAAAAGCCAGGCCTGGTGACACAAGCTTGTTATTCCAGAGTTGTGAAGGTAGAAACAGCAGCCTCAATAAATAAACAATCCTCAGACCAATCACAGACCCTGTCTCAAAAGCAAGGTGGATACAAGGCGGATGGCCCCTGATGTGACACGCTTGAGTTTGTCCTCTGGCACTCAGATGCATACACACATGCCATGACAGGAAACATTTTCAATCTCACGTGCACACACATGAGTAAGGCTAACACCTTATCTTCTAGGGGAAGAGAAAGAAATCACTACTCCCCATCCTATGATCCCAGCAATTAACAGAAACAATGAGCTATCTGTAAGCAAGACAGTGAGTAAAACTCTTCCCTGTGTGTGGTTCTGTACTTACTTAGGATCACCATTCACTTACACAATACTTCCTAAAATGCTTTTGTCTGAAGTCTTACCTTAAGGAAGCTCTCGTACCTGACCTTCACGATTGGATTATTTAAGATGCTTGTAGCAGTCAGCACACTCTCTCTTTTTATCTGTTCCTTATAAGCCTGTGAAAGACAGGACACAGTCAGATAACAGAAAGCCATGGCATGAAAAGTTCATAGATGTAAAGTGGTATTTTACACAAGTCTCTACTATATTAAGCTATGAATAACTAACTATAGCTATCGTGTTTGTAATCTAGATCATGAAATAAGATCATGAACTTTCACAAGCCAATAAAAATAGAGCACTCCTAAGTACAATTCTAGGTGTATTAGACATTTGATTCCTATCCTTTTTACTGTACACTTCACACAACCAAAACAAAACTATCAATCTTCTTCAAGGTTTTTAAGATATCACAAGTATTATACAGAGGGGGAAAAGGTAATACATAGCATGCACCAGCAAGATGGCCTGGTTGGGGTATGTGAGAGTCACTTCATTACAAAGAAGAATTTTAAGATTCAAGTCTCTTCTATTTAAATTTACACATAAATCATTAACTTTTCAGTTTATTACAAACAAACACACTTCCTACAACGTAAGCATGCATGTTTTTGAGGTAAAGCCAACCAGATAAAGAGCAGTATAAAGAGCAGAGACAGGCACTAAAGAACAAGCAGGCAGTGAGCTATTTAGAGAGATCCTATTCCAAAGTCACAACAGATATAGTGAGTGCTAATACTAGTTTTAAATGCATTTTCCCAAACCATGAGAAAAACAAATAAATGCTCTAACTTTAATTTTTAAATGTATTTTCTCCAACTACCAGAAAAATAGGCCAAAAATAGTAAAAAAATACCCTTTCCTATTTGTTCTAACACACACATACTCACAAAACAATTTTGTAGCATTTTTGTTACTTTAAAAAGTAACAAAAACTGCTTACCAACTATGATTTCCTGATTATTACCAGCCACTGTTTTATTAAGTGTCTCATATGCTGAAATCCTTAAGCACAAAAAAAAACGGTGCCAGTCTCTCCTTGCAGATAAGGACAGTTACACAAGGAACTTCTTTAAAACCAGGATTCAAACCCAGAAAGCTTTCCCTTAAATCCATGACCTCAACTATGACATGGCTGACTCCCAGCAGACACACAGCTACTCACATTTCAGATTAACAGAACAGTATGTATGAAACAACAGACAGCAGATAATAGCAAACTGGTAAAAATTCAAGGATTTTATAAAAAGGTTGAAAGTTACCTGCTTGCCTTTAATATGGTCAGGAGACTTTAGGTGCTGTTGAACTGAACTGTGAAAGGCAGGGATATACACGTTGCAAGCGCTACAGTGAACAGTCTCTACTTTCATCATGTGATCGTCCGCAGTAACACCTGCAAAACAAGAAAGCCATCAGTCCTATTTTTCACAATCATCATCATTTGTATTCCTTATATAGGATCAGAGTATGTAGGCTTCTGTCAGGTTCTTCCACATGCCTCATGGAGTTAAAGGTGCATGTGCAGTACCTATTGTGGATGCTGTAAATCAAACTCTTGTCCTGTGCAAGACTCTCCAGTCTGGCATCACATTCACCCATGCTTAGAGCCCTTTTAGTCCATCTCCGCAAAAAGCATAAAGCTAAATGGATGCTATTCTTAGTAAAATAAGAGTGTCCACTATTATGAGCATGGCTAGGCAGAAGAAGCAGAAAAGATGTTGTAAGAAACAAAATATCCATCTTCAAAGTGATTATTCTAAGTGCTCTGCAAGGTTGACAAGCACTCTTGACACTGAATCCTCACTCCAACCCCAAATGCAGCATTTAGAGCAGGGGAAAGAAAGACTTGTTCAACATGTAAAGATGAACTAGAGGACATTTTGCCACAGACAAAGGCCAGCACCTCACAACCCTCACATCTGCTCTGTTGGGTGCGGCAGGACTACTTTTTAAGAAAATCAAAGTATTTTGAGTTTGTTTCCCTGTGTAGGAAAGAGTGGCAAAGTAAATGGCAGATCTGGGAGATATGCTGGAGCTTTTTAAATTAGATTTATTTTACATTTTTAATTATGCACATCTGTGTCTGTATGGATAGTGCTAGTGCTCAAGGAGGCCATAAATGTTCAATCCTCTTGAAGCTGGAGTCACAGGTTGTGAACCACATGATGTGGCTGCTGGGAACCAAATGAGAGTCCTCTGCAACAGTTTATGCCCCAATATTTTGGCATTATATTAACTACTGAAGAGATGTTAACAGGCAAATGAATGAATGAAACAAGATTTCAGAAAACAGATCTGTGCTAGATCTGTAGATATAAGTAATTCACATATACATATTAATTTAAACTGTATGTAAATGAGTTCACCTGAAAGAAATATGAAGGGATATAGTAACTAAGATAATGACTGATGAAGTACAAAGACAAAAACAGACCAAGGGGATGAAGAGAACATTAGGCTAGTAAGGTGTTGAGGGGAGGGGGGCAGATTCACAAGCAGGGAGTAGATTAGAAATGCTTTCATGATGATTTAAGAAGAAAATCATACTGGGCTTGGTGGGCATGATGGCTCCAGCCTATAATCCCAGCACTCAGGTGCAGAAGGACACTGCTACAAGTTCAAGGCCAGGTGCTCTACTGGTAAATTCTAGGCCAGAGGCTATGCAGTAAGACTGTATCTCAAAATGAAACAAGGGACCACATGATGGAGTGGAAAGCTGCTGATTCCATGTAACCAATGAGACTAAGGAAGGAGGCATCAGTGTGGATGAGGCTTAAAGAAACACAGTTGTTGTTTTAGGAATATATAATGCTCAGCACTGCAGCTGTTGCCTAGAAAATATTTGTTTAAGGATAAAAAGAAAAGGCAAGTTACAGTAAATGGTTTTTTTTTGGGGGGGGGGGGTTGTTTGTTTTGGTTTTTGTTTTGTTTTAAAAATAAAAACAGGCTTGTAGGCTTCAGAGATGAAATCAAAAGAGAAGGAATACTGAAACACAGACGATTTAAGCACATGAATTTCACACAACATAACGGAGCTGCAGGGAAGGCTCAGAGATTCCTATGGGGACCTGAGTCTGCATCAGTGGGTTCTGAGCAACCCCAGCTCCAGGGCATCTCAAGGCTTCTTCTGGTCTCTGTGGACACCACAGTCATGAACAACTCCTCTGTCCATATGATTATAGAAATAAAGAGATAAACAGACAGAGTTAAGGAAGACAGAGGGTTGTCTTGACCCCTTTGGGGTCCATCCTCAGCTATCTACATTACAATTCCTAACAGTAGCACAATTGTAGTAACAAAGTAGCAATAAAAGTATTTTATGGGGGAGGGGGTTACCACAACATGAGGAAGGAATTTTCCCCTAGACCAGTGATTCTCAACCTTCCTAACATTGTGATCCTATAATACAGTTCCTCATGAGTGGTGACCCCAACCATAAAATTATTTTATTGCTACTTCAAGACTATAATTTTGCTACTGTTATAAATTATCATGTAAATACTTTTGGAGACAGAGGTTTGCCAAAGGGGCAGGAACCCACAAGTTGGGAACTGCTACTCTATACTGAAGAAAAAGAGATCAGGTCTGCCCTGAGAAACTAGTAAGAACTATAGTAAGTACAACTGTGACCTGCATCGATCCCAAAGGTTTCAGATACATAAAGTACAAATGAGCATTTCTAAGACAACCTGATGAAATACTCACCTTCCATAACATCTTTTTCAATTATTTTGTAAGCTTCTAGGTGATGAAGTGTCAGCTGCTTACGAATAGATGTTTTTTTAAATTTATTCACCATGCATTCCTAGAAGATAGAAAGAATACAAACTGATTCCAAGGAGCACCTACCATATGCTCAACACTGCACTGGACCACTGCTAATCTCTCTCACAAGAAGCCCACAATTTACGTGGAGAGACTGTCATAAAACACTAGAAACCGCTCACTTTCGTCTTCTGGGCCTCTGGAGAAAGATCAGAAGCTGGATGGTGCCCTTCTTGGGTAAGTGGGTGAATCATAAATGACAGAGAGGAACCCGCTACAGGAAAGGAGAGGTCTGAGTGAGCACTGCACTGCAGTTCACCAGCCCAGATCAGTGCTGCACTCCGCAGTCCAGCTCCACCCACTCTTTGTTCTGTTGGGTTTTCCAAGTCCCCAGAGTATTTCTGCATTCTTGCATTTCCACCTAAACAGACTATCTTGTGCACCTGTGAACATGTTATGTTTTCAATTAAAGTTGGCTCATTAACAGTAATGTTTGTGCTCTTCAAAATAATCTATTAAACTGACAATCATACAAGGAAAACACCAAGACACCAGCAAACACCTGTCTCCCTGGCTCAGAATTCTGACTCTGCTACCTAGTAACAAGGTCAATTAGCTTCTATGGACATGATCTTTCAATCATTACTTGAAAGAAAAAAAGAATTATGGAGGCTCATCTGAAATGAAGAAGTAATGTACTGAACATACTTCCAGGCACACTGGATTCTGCAGGAATGATAGATGAGTCTAAGGCAACAGACAATGACTAAAGGAACTCTTTTCTGACAACTTTCTCAGAAATGACTATGAAGAACGATTTCTCACATTACAAATACTAACACAGAATTCACACCCAATTAATTTAACAACTTTTCTCAAATGAGTAATTAATAAATATTTAGAAACATAAAAATGAAATTATAAAAATTGAAATAAATTCAGATCAAATAAAATGCTTCTCATTTCAAAAACACCTACTTACATGTAAAAATTCCATAACTACTTTATCAAATTTGGTTTGTTTCTGAATATGATCTAATGTTTCCTGGTGTGAAGAGCTTCCCAGATGCAGTTCAATATCTTTTTCTTCTAAGGTTCGGAATTTACAAAATGAACATGTGAATGACATTCTACAAAGAAAAGAAATTACTTTAAATATTTTCTTATTCATTTATATCATCTAAAATTAATTTTACTAGGTGAAATAAATTTCTTTTTAGAAAATTTCTTTTTAGAAAGGAGTCCTTTATGTTTTAAGCCTTTGGGTATGAAACCAATAAGTTGATGACCTCAAGCCTCAGCCATTCAAAACTAAAGTTCATATAAAGAAGCATCCAGTTCCAAAATCCCACAACAAATTTTACACTCTGGCCTATCCTCGAGTTTCTAAACCATCAGCAAAACCAGGTAGACACAAAACAATTACTCCAATCCCACAGAGCTCTGCAGATGTACAGTGTCTCAACAACTGTCAGGGTGACCAACAGACCTAGACTACACAAATATTCATTGTTTAGAAGATGAAATCCCTCTACAACTTTCTATGTATGCTATTATTTCCTTTACCTTAAATGATGACAACAGTCTCCTAACCGGGTTCTGACTCAGTTTCCACTTTCCAAGGATCTTTTCACACTGCTATTAGTCTTATTTGCTGAGTTAACTTAGGAATCAAGTGCTCCATTTATATCATATTCCCTTTTGTGATCTTGGGCAAATTCTCTAATTTCTCTGGCCCCAGTCTCCACAGAGGTTCCTGTCAGAGTTCTTCAGTTATGTAGCATTACTTCCTACAATAGGCATTAACATTATCACTGCTTAAATGCCTCCCTGACTCTAAAGCCAAACACAAAGATGACTTCAGCTGCTCTCCAGGACACCTAATCTCCATTCTCTCTCATCTATGCCCACTAATCTCATTTAGCAATAAATAGCACACACTATGTTTTAATTATGTTACACTTTCAAATCACTAATTCTTTTCTTTACCAACATGTGACCTACCTGTACCGCTTTACACAATTCTTACAATTCTACCATTCTTAGAGCAGTTCAAATACCACCTCCATTGTGTTGTCTCCTGGAATTTACTGCCACTCTGATTTAGAAGTTATTGTTAGGAAGACTGGTTACTCTGCCTTTCTCTCCTAGCACTTTTTAACCATATACTGCTGCTTGTGTATACCTCTTCCATACGCCTCACGTTCTTTATCATATTGAAAGCATTCAAGTAACAAGAGACCTATCCAAAAGTAGGCATTTACCATCCATGTCAAACCTGCTCTGATAAATAATTGTACACACAACTGCAGATGTAATTCACTGATAGTGCATTTCTTTAATATGTATTAGGTCCTGGCTTAACCATCAGTACTGTTTTTTAAGTCTAAGATACTTTGGGTATTTTTAAAAATTCATATTCTATAAAATGACAATTCAACTGAAATTGTTATGTTATGGGGAAAATGCAAATTTCAGTTATTTTATTTTCTCCAAATTGCAATGTTTGTTCTATTAACACAATAATTATATCACATTCAAATCTATTTTCAAATTTTAATGGATAAAGTACTCATAGAATTAAATACAAATGTTAACCTTATAATGCAAATCATATTTAGACTCCTATATATTTAACATGAACTGTTTAATTCATTCCCACAATACAGTAACATATCTAATATCTATGCCAACTGGAATTTAAAGAGATAAGCAGGGAAGGGACAAAGACCAAAACACACGGGTCCTGTTAAAACTGTAACTGCACCACCCAGCCAGACCACCCCTGTCCTTTTCAGAAGTCTGGCCCAGGGAGTCTCCCTACCATCCACCCCCCGTTCCCCAGGCCCCACAACTAATGTCCTAGCCATGGTTTTTGCCAGAATACTCCCTACCTACCCATCATCCCACAGTCTCCTCCATTCCACCTCCAACCTTTGCACCCACCCTGATCCAACATTCCAGACATAGACCAGGTGTACATCCTGTATATCAACCCAGTACACCTCACTTCATTCACCCAAGCCATCTCCAATCTTTAGGTCCAATCAATCCATCAGCACATCCTCTCTCCTACCCCAACCCGTTCTCTCCATATCTGACCTAGAATTGACAGAAGACGTCCACATGCCCAGATCTCATTGCAAAAATGCAAATATATGAAACATCCTCTCCTACTACTTCTGCACAAATACTTCCAATAAAGCCAGGACACAGAATTTAAAAGAACAATCATAAACTTCATCAAGGAATTCAAGAAGTTTAAAGAAAAAACTTAAAGAAACAGAATTTAAGGAAAGCAAATGCCTCAGTGATGCCCAAGAAAGCACAGACAAGGCTGAAGAAAATGAAGATGGCAATCCAGGACTTGAGAATGGAATTCAATAAGGACATAGAAACAATGGAGAGGACTCAAGCTAAAATGAAGACGGAAATAAAATCTCTAATAATACAACTAGATCTCAAAGAAAAACTTTACAAGTAGAAAGAATCAAGCAGAAAACCATCAGGATACAAAGCAGAGGACCTGGACCAAATAAACAAATATAAAAATTAAAAAACAAAAACCACAGGAAAGAAACACATAGAAAAAGTACTACTAGATTTAATGACACAGATTAGTAGGGAATTTCAGCAGGATTGTGATGGCACACACCTTTAAATTTAGCACTCAAGAGGCAGAGGCAGGTAGATCTGTGAGTTCAAGGCCAACCTGGTCTACAGAGTGAGTGAGTTCCAGGACAGCCAGGGATACACAGAGAAACCCTTTCTCAAAAAACACACACACACAGTAGGAGATTTCAATACCCCATTTTTTTTCCCCAATAAACGGGTCATCTAAAACAAGAAAATAGAGAAACATCAGATTTAATTAATATCCACCAAATATACTTAACAGATATACAGAACATCCCATCCAAACACCAAAGAACATACATTCTACTTAAAAGCAAACTAGAAAGGATCATATTCTGAGAAACAACACAATCTTTACAAATTCAAAAGCACTGAAATCACTCCTTATATCTGATTTGATTTGGAAGTTGACAGCAAGTATCCATTGCTAAAGATGAGAGAGAGAAGAAAACAAGAAAAAAAGAAAAAAATTTCCTGGAGTTAAATAAAAATGAAAATACATCAAAACTTCTTGGATACATTGAAAGCAGGCCTATGAAGGAAATTTATGTCTAAGTACACTGATGCAAGCCACAAAACAATGCTGAGCAAAAAGAACAATGCTAGGACTACCATTCCAGATTTAAGATATACTGCAGAGCCAAAGTAATAAAAATAATATAGTACTGGGATAAAAAAACAGACACGTAGACCAATGGAACAAAATCAAAGACCCAAGTGTGAGTACACATACCTTCAGTCACATAATATTTGATTAAGATGCCAAAAAACATCATCTGGAAAGAAAAGGCATTTTCAAGAGATGGTGCTGGAAAAACTGGATTCCACATGCAGAAGAATGACATTAGTCCTGTATCTATCACATTGCACAAAAACTAATCCTAAATGGATCAAAGACCTATGAGTGAAACTTGAAACTGCTAGAAGAAACATAGGCAGTATATACACGATATAGGTGTAAGGATGGGTTTCCTGAGTAGGACCCCATTTGCTCAAGAACTAAAGCCAACAACTGACAAGTAGGACTTCATAAAACTAAACAGCTCACAGGGTAGGAGAGAACCTTTGCCAGCTACATATCAAACAGAGGATTAATTTCCAGGATATACAAAGAACTCAAGAAACAAATACACATATTCAAAGAAATGGGCCTGAGGCCTGAACAGAAAAGGAAAAAAAGGGGGCGAGTGATGGGAGATGTCATTCTGTAAATATGTTTCTCTTATTGGTTAATGAATAAAGCACTGTTGGCCAATAGGACAGCAAGATAGGCGAGACTAGGAGACTAGGAAGAGAGAAGAAGTAGTAGGGAAGAGATTCAAGATGGAGGATTGAGAGTGAAGACAGGGTCTCTCTCCGGTAAGATAAGACTACGTGGAAACACTTAGATTAATAGAAATGGGTTAATATTTAAGACAGATCTAGCCAATAAGAAACTAGTAACAGACCAACAGAATTATATCTAATACAGCATCTGTGTGTTATTTGGGGCTGGCAAGGCAGAGGGATAAGACCGGCAAGTGGGAAACTACTCATAATGGGGGGAAGGCACTAAGCAATATCTCAAAAAAAAAAAAAAAAAAAATGTTTATGGTCCCTAGCAATAAGGAAATACAAAACAACTTTAAATTTTCTTCTTATCTCAGTCAGAATGGTAAAGATTAACAAATGCTGAGGGCATGCAGGGAAAAGGAATCTCTCATTCACTGTTGGTGGGTTTGCAAACTAGTACAGCCACTGTAGAAATCAGTGTGGAGAATTCTCAAAAAGCTAAAAGTAAATCTACCATATGACCCAGCTACACCACTCCTTGGCATATGCCCAAAGGACTTAACATCCTAGTCCACAGATACTTGTTCAGCCATGTTACTACTCTATCCACAGTAGCTAGAAAATACAAACAACCTAAATGTCCTTCAACTAACAAATGAAAATGATGCCTATACACTGTAAAATACTATTCAGCTGCAAAGAAAAATGGAATCATGAATTTTACAAGTATATGGTTGAAAGTTTAAAAAAATCATATTGATTGAATTATCTCCAGACTCAGAAAGACAAACAGTGCATGTTCTCTCTGGGCACAATGGGAGCACACATGCCTTAGCAGTAACCAATAACTGGACTAAGAGCTACTCAATTAGAGAAATCACACCTGATCCTAGAAACCTAGCCAACTAACTACTAGAGCTAGTGAAGTCATGGATCTTGAAGGAGAACCTTTATCACAACCACCACTTTACCAAACCAGGATAATCCCCAAGTACACTCTAAACATTTGTCTAAGTGTAGTCTTTACCCCTCATCAACAAAATGCAACAGAGACCACTACAGAACACCACAACCAATCAAAATGCAGTCAGTTGTGGAGCCGGTCCCGAAAACTCCCCCCATACCTAAAGCTTGGGGAACATTGTAGAAGAGGGAGCAGACTGTAAGAGCCAGGGGATTAGGCATTAGTTGTGAAACTGTGTCTCCTAGTAATGTCAGAAGCTACAGCCACAAAATCTCACCAGCATGTCTGCCTGAACCTGAGCTCAACAAAAGGACATGCCAAAGTGGATTGCCTCAATCCTACATAAAGAACTGTAGACAACTGAGGAACTCTGAGAGTAGGAAAAATAATCTATAATCTTCTCCAAGAAAGAGCATACCAATTGCTTGAGCAACACCAAACAATCAGCCCTTAAAATACACATACAAGTAACATTATATCAACTAATATTTAAGGACACATATGTAGATACATATACCACTACATGCAAGTAAAAATGAAAAAAAGAGTCCATGAATCTCAAAGAGTGCAAGGAGGGGACATGGGAGGGTTGGGAGGGAGGAAAAAGAAGGAGTTAATAATATAATCATATTATAATCTCAAAAAAAGTTTTATACAAAAACAAAGTCTTCTTTATGAAGTAATTCGTAGTAAGTTTAATTCTATTGTTTTTCAAATACAGTTTACTAAAGGCAGAAACAAGATTATAAATGCATACCAAAGAGCCTAAAAATCAAAGAACAAAGTATCTGCACATTCAGATGTGACTTAACATTCTTTCCTATACTTTATATACATTCATAGCAGGTAACAATCATTTCTATTTACAATGAATGGAAATTCACACTGTATGTAAAGCCTCCCTCAGATTTCAGACACTGTTAAAGATAAAACCTGAGACAAATAGAACATTAATTTAATGTGTCATTTCATCCTTTTCCTCATTCACAACTGAAGTTTTAAAGAACAAAAACATTTTGAGTAAGAAAGTATCTGTATTTACACTTTAGAAATTTTATATTCTTTATTTTCCTAGTAGGAGTCTCTAAAAATTTTCGAGGCAGCTGCCACGCCTTTAATCCCACCACTCAGGAGGCCAGCCTGTCTACAGATCCATGAGTTCAAGGCCAGCCTGGTCTACAGAGTGAGTTCTGGGACAGTCAGAGCTATTACACAGAAAAACACTGTCCTGAAAAACCACACACACACATAAAATCCTGATGGACATAGAGGCACATGTCTACAATGTCAACAACTTGGAGAGAGACTGAGAAAAGAGGCTCACAAATTCAAGGCTAGCATGGGGTGCACAGGGAAACCCTGCTTCCCTGTCACTTTTCCCTATAAATAATTTACATTTTAAATATGCATTTCCTACTTTTACCCTTCATGTTACTGTGAATTCTCTAATCATTTGTTAACAATGAGCTCATAAGGTAATGAGTCAAACATATCAACCTCATCATTCTTTAGAACTGATATTCAGTTCCTATTAATACTAAAGTAAATCATGTTATAATGAGAATTTTGTAGATTAAAAACTCTTCTGTGTTTCAGACTGTTTCCTTGGTAATATCAATGAATACAAAGTTGCTTAACTTTTTAAGACAACCATCTGATTTCTAATAGTTATAAATTATACAATTCACCACTAAATTTTAAGCTAATTTGATTGTACCTCAGCTAGCAAATGAGTCGATTTCTAATGAAACAGCATGCTGCTCATTTTACTTAAGTTACTAAGTCTCAACATTTTCCCTAAAGGTATTAACTACCTACATCCCTTCACTAAATTAAACATCAGATTCTTAGTTTTCTTTTTAAAACAAGTGGGCAATTTTTAAATCAAGTTTGCTGTTTAAATTAACTATTAGTCACTTTTACAATTATATTTTCTAAGACTATCTACTTTCCTTTTCAAGTTTGAGTCCTACAGCTGGAGAAATGGTTTAGTGACTAAGAACATTTGCTGCTCTTGCAAAGGACCCTGAGTTCAGTTCTCAGCACCCACATGGTAGCTCCAGTTCCAAAGGATCCTATGCCCTCTCTGACTTCTGCAGGCACTGCACATAGTGCTTATGCAAACTTGCACAAAGATTCATATTCATAAAATATGAATAAATGTAATCCTTTTTTTAAAAGGTTTTGAGTCCTCAGTAAAATCTGTTCTTTAATTCATTTTAAGTTTCATTAATGTGTATGTGTGTGTGGGTATCCAAGGAGGCCAGAAATGGCCACCAGACCCCTTGAAGCTGAAGTTACAGGCCTTTCTGTGTCTCATGACATGGGTAGTAGGAACAGAACTTGGGTTCTCTGGAAAGGCAATACATACATACATACTTTTAACAGCTGAGTCATCTCTCCAGCCCCTCATCATTTCTTTCATACCTGTACATTTTAAGCCTGAAAAAAAATCTTACTTACAGAGAAGAAAATCCTGTATTTTATTCTCCTTTCATTTTCCATTGTTTTTAAATTTCTAATGTGTCTAGATGGAATAGAAGGATCTAAACTAACTCTAAAATTTATTGTTCAACCAAATCTTTTTATTTAGTGTGTGTGTTTGTGTGTGTGTGTAGATATATATAAAACACTCTTATATAAATGCAGTCTGTTTATAGGCTAATAATTCTGCCACTTGCCTATTACCATTTTTTCCAGGTCTGGGTGTCATGTAGTACTTATCGGTGTGCTACATTAGGACCTTATGTGTGTGTGTGTGTGTGTGTGTGTGTGTGTGTGTGTGTGTGTGTGTGTTCATCAACAGGTCGGAGAGAAATGCCCTAATTCCTTGAGACAGGATTTCTCACTGAGTACTGAAATAAAATGATAGCCAGCAAGCCTCAGCAACCCTCCTCTCTCAACTCCAGAAAAAATGCACAGCCACATCACCTTCCTATATGGATGGGTGATGGGGATTCTACCACGGGCCCTCATACTTGTGTAGCGCACACTATTACTCAATGATCCGTCTCCCTATCCCACATTATGGACCCTTTAGTGCTGCAGTATCTAAAAATGCCAGGACCTATTCATTCATTATTATTCTTCAGAATTTTCTCTGGCATCTCTTTTGGAAAGAACTTATACATCAAGCTTTCCCAGGCAAGAATATCACTGTATCTCTGCACAGCTCAAGACTTTGGCCTCCACCGCCCAAGTGCTCAGACTGCAGGTATGCGCCAGCACACTTGGTTTATGCATCACTGAGTAGTGAGTAGTTCTTACAGGGCCCTATGTATCACAGGCAAACACTGGACCAACTGTGGTTCACTCCTAGCCCCATTCCTTTATTTCTTTAGTGAAATTTTTCCTGTTGACTAGAACTTTTTCACAGTCTACTTCGTATATTTGCCATTTCTGAGAAATTCATTTGAAACAGGGTTTTAGTGTATAGCCTAGTCTGAACTAAATTAACAATCCTCCTGCCATAGCTTCACAAGTAGAGATTACAGGATGTGGCACCTGCTTAGCAAAGGCACCCAGCTTAGAAAAATCAAACTGTCTTTTAATAAGCCTCCTTTTTGTCCCTGCAAGTACAAACCTGTATCCATCTCCGTACTTCTCACTGTTTTTCTCTCGTCTACGCCTTTGTTTCTCTCGCCGAGCCTCAATCCGCCGCCTTTCTTCTTCATTTTTAGGATCAGTTTTTGCTAAGATATTAGAAAAAGAACTTTATTTTAATACATTGTGACCTTTTTTTTATCTGCTTCATTTCTATGTGATTATTTGCTGCATATTTTTGTTTAAGTCTGCTCATTTTTGCTTATCCTTACCAAAATGGATAGTATCCACAGAGCCTAAAACTCATCTTGAATATCTCACACATTTTAAGAAACATTGAAAAAAAAGAAGAAGAAGAGAAAGAAACATTGAAGGAACCTAACCCATATCTCCAATTCCAATAACAGGACTGGATGCAGGGAAAAACAAAAAAACAAAAAAATTTTACATTTACATTGTGGGGGTGGTTCCAAATTTTCTTAAAATGTGTATCTATAGAACTCCAAAATAAAAGCTATTTTTTTAAAAAAAATTGTTCTAGGATAAAATAGACAAAACATAAAACTTCCCATTCAAACCATGTTGGAGTGTTGAATTCAGTAGTGTGAACAGCATCCCCATGTTGTATCAGCAACACCATTATCTAGTTCCAGATTACTTTCACAACTCCAGATAGTAAGTATAGCCATTGAACAGTCACTCCCCACTTCAACTCAACTCTAAGGAATTAGTAATTCCTCATTTCTTCTGTACTCTGATTATTTGATTTGCATAGAATCACTAACTCTTTTTGGTCTTGCTTTTATTTAGTATGTTTTCAAAGTTCATTACTTATACCATGTATCAGCACTTCACTCTTACAATTTAATATTCCACTGTATAAGTATATATTCACTGAGGAAACACTAATGTGCTATACCACTTAATACACCCATCTGTACTGTGTAATGGTTCCTATTTCTATACATCCTTGCCAGCACTTGTTATTTTCCCCCTTCCCCCACCCCATCATAACATACTAGTGGGCATGGACTGATACTACTGTCCTGTCTATACTTGGGCTGCAGAGATGGCCCAGTAGTTAAGAGTACACACCCAAGTTCAATTCTGAACAGCCATATCTAGCAGCCAATAACTGCCTATATCTCCAGTTCCAGAAAATCTGAGACCTTCTTCTGGCCTCCTTAGGCACCTACATTCATGTGTACATGTGCTCACACATAAACATACTAACAGAAGAGGGGAGAGGAGGGAAGGGAGGATCTTACTGGGCAAGGGATGGGCTCCATTGGTCAAGTGACTGCCTAACATTCATGAAGCCCTGAGTTCAGTCTCCAGAACCAAATAAACCCTTGTTGTGTGTGGCACATGCTTGTAACACTCATGAGCTTGAAGAAGGGGGATTAGAAGCTCAAGGTCATACTTACCTACATAGCAAGTTTGAGGCCAGTCTGCGCTATGTGAAACACCATCTCAAAAAAAAGAATCTTACCTATTTGCTCTTAAATTTTTTTAAAACTATGAACTTGACTATAAAGAGGTATTTATTAAGCACTTAATATATATATATACTGTATAATAAGTTTCAAAATTACACAAAATTGATACCCTAAAGGTAAATACCTAGATTCTTTTTAGTGCTTTGTAAGGATTTATCTGTATATTTGTAAGCCGTTTGAACACCTTCATTCAGATTTCCCTCTAACCTAAAAAGAGAAAAATCTAATGTTATTTCAAACAAGAATTTCTGGGGGCTGGAGAGATGGTTCAGCTATTAAGACTGCTCTTCCAGAGGTCTGAGTTCAATTTCCAACAACATGGTGGCTCACAGCCATCTCTAGTGGGATCTGGTGCCCTCTTCTGGCCTGCAGACATACATGAAGGCAGAAAAGTGTATACATAATAAAAAAAAAATAAAAACATTTAACATGCCATATGCTAAAACTATGTCACTCTACCTCAAAAGAAAAGCATATATATAGCTTAGGTTGGCCTTGCACTTACGTAGATAAGGATGACCTTAACCCTCTGGTCCTGAGAATGCTAGCCTGACAGTTGCAACATGTGCTTACGATACAACCCAGGACTCTTACATTGTCAACCAGCATGTTATCAACTGAGCTATAGCCCCAATCCTGATTTTATACAAAATATTTGATCCATATTTATCATATGTCACAATACTTCACATTCTAAAAAGCCTAATAAAGACATTTTTAAAATATTCATTTCATTCCCAGTTGAGGATTAATTTCAAAGTAAGAATTTTAACTTCATTCTCAGCTTCACACTGAGTTTTATTAAAAAGAGGAGGGACACATGCTTTATAAGCATTTTCTGGATGAAGCTTCACAAAAGTTAACTATAAAATATAACTTCTTCATAACTCTGTTCAAAGAGGAGCAACTGAATTGCCTGGTCCCACTAATATGAAGTCCCACTAGTATCAAGGAACACAGTATAAATACTGCTCCCTTAGTAAAAGTTTCTCACAAATGGCATTTCTTAGTAAATTGCACACATATTAATTATAAAGCACAACAAAAAGATTTATATATAGTATTTAATCTTGAATTTTATATTCACTTTATCTGGAGAAAAGAATCTAACACTGTATTTCCCATTTTTAATAATAAATTAAAATATCTATAATTAGAAAAGATTTTTAATTGTTTTTATTTTATGTGTATTTGTGGGTTTTTTGCCTGCACATATGTAAGTGCACCACATGTACAATGTGTATGCAGTATCCATGGAGGCCAGAAACTAGAACTGAAGTTATAGTTTCTCGCTGTCACAGGGGTCCTCTGCAGAAGCAATGAGCACCCTTAACCGCTGAGCCACTCCTCCAGCTCTGAGAAAAAGTTCTTTACAACTAAAAGGGAGGAGGCTGCAGAGCACTGGCTGCTCTTCAGGAGGACCCAAGTTCAATTCCCAGCACCCACATTGGCAGCTCACAACAGTAATTCCAGTTCCAGAGGGTTAGACAACCTCACACAGACATACATGCAGGCAAAAATGCCAATGCACATTGGATGGATGGATGGACGGACAGACAGGCAGGCAGGTGGGTGGGCTGACAGATGAGGCTACAAGTAACTACTGTACAAGTACTGAGGGCCTAAGTTTGAATCTCCAGCACTCATGTAGAAAGGTATGGCCACACTGGAGACTAGAACCCCAAAACTTTGGGGTATGAAAGAAGATTAGGGGGTTTACAGCTACCAATTTAACTTGATTAAGTTAAGGACTTTGTCTCAATGACATAAAATAAATGAGAGAATTAAGATTGTGCTAGAGATTGCGTAGGCCTGCCATGCCCGGGCCTTGACCTCCCATAGTGAGCACTGGGAGCCACTCCTCCAGCCTGGTGAGGCAGGACCAAGAGAGGAGGCTGTGACACAGCAGCACTCCCACCTAGCAGGCACCATGACTGCCATCATCAAGAAACAGAACTAGGACCCAGGGAAGTGCTTAGACAACACAGCAGCTTGGCTGGGTCCACATAGGGCCCAGAAAGTGCCGAGGCAACACTGAGAAGCCAAGTGACAAGTGACTCACTTCCCACAGTTTGGTCGTGGCGGGATGTGAGTAAGTAGGTGGTAGGAGGATGGGAGAGAAAGAAACAAGCAAGTAGGGAGAGAAAGAATAAGCAAGCCTCCACCATTTGAGTGAGCTGGTCATGGTGGTTGAGGATGCAAGAAAGCTAGCAGGATGACCAACTCAGCTACCACCCAGACCTGATCCAGAGCTGAGTTAGCCCACTCCAACATCCACCCCATCTATAATCTGCTAGAGCACAAGAGAGGGTCGGGTCCTGCTGATCCAAAGCTGCAGGATCTCCATGACACAAGACAACATGATACCCAACAGAAGTCCTAGTGGAAATCCAGTATTGATAGTGTAGCAGAAGCCAGAGGCTTCGAACCAGACCAATGATTCATTGCAATGAATATTTGCAAATAAAGATGCATGAATTAAAGGGTATAATGTGTGCTTCTGTGACAAGATTTTTTTTTTCTCTTTTATTAAGGGGGATTTCACAGGTAGATATGAAGGGACAGGAGATGAGTGAGTTGGGGTACACAATGTGAAATAAAAAAAAAAAAAAACCATAAAGTTAAAAGAAGACAAAGAATGACACAGCAAAAAACCCACACTGCCCTCTGCAAACGAACACTCAGACATGCATAACACACATATGCACAAACGCAAGCACACACACACACACACACACACACAGAGGAGGCTGGGCTGGGGGAGATATAGCACAGTGGGTAAAATGTTTGTCAAATAAACAAAGACTTGAGTATAGACCCCTAACATCCACTTAAAAAGCTGGGCAGTGTGACAGACACTTGTCACCCAAGCACTGGAGAGGCAGACAAAGGAGGTTCTTTGGAGTTTGCTAGCCAAGCAATCAAACCAAAACAGTAAGCTCCAAGTTCACTGAGAAAACCCATCTCAAAGTAAATAAACAACTGAGGAAGATGCTTAATGACCTTTGATCTCTCTGCATACATGAACACATTTCCCCAATCCCCACACACGGCCTGAGTTTATATACCTCAAGCACCTGGGAAGTAGAGACAGGAGCATGTAGAGTTTAAGTTCATCCTCCGTTACAAAGTTGAAGGCCAGCATGGGATAAATATATTCAAAAATAATTAAATATAAATAACTATAAATATAGATAAATAGATGATGGGAAATAACACAAAGCAAATTCTATTATGATTGCAACATCAGGCACAGAGGTTTTAGGCACAGAAGCAGCTTTAGAAGAAATTATGGCTTTCCCGCTTACTGGTTGTTTAACCTGGGAAGCAAATCACTGATCTGTCTTTGTCAGTTGTAGAGTTTGACACACACACAACTACCCCTCATCAATGTTGCCTAAAATGTATAGCATGTAATGCATGCATACTCTTTAACACAGTGCCCATGCGAAAGAAGCATTCAGTAAATACTAGGTTACTATTAACAGCTAAAATCTGGGCTTGAGAGATGGCTAAGCAGTTAAGAGCACTGGATGCTCTTCCATAGGGCCCAGGTTCAATTCCTAGCATCCATGCAGCCACTCACGACCATTCTTAACTCCAGTTCCATGGGGACCAGGTACGTACATGGTACAGAGACAAGCATACAG